GCCGCCAGACTGGGGAGAGGAATCGGGCGGCCGCTATGGGAAGGCCTGGAGTCCCGGGAGTGGCTGGAGGAGCCGCAGAGGTGCCCCAATAGCTCATTTTTGTAAGCCTCTAGTTAGAAAAATAATTTGAACTGAAGTAACGTAGGTAGAGAATTAGGAAATCAGACCTTTCATAACTGAGTTGTGACTGCATGAAAGCACTGAGGGGTGAGAAGCATCCGCATTTCCTGCTCCCCGTTCAGCATAAAACAGCGTGTGTTATTTAGGGATGTGTGAGTCCAACGTATAAAGACCCCCGCGCACGTAGAGAACAGGGACGGACATACAACACAGCACACATGAAGAGTTAAGAGGGGTTGGCCTGAGTGCAGCGGCGCGGGGCTCACTGTACTAACCTTGCAGCCATACACGTGCAATTACTCCCAGGTGAAGAGTTACAAAGAAAGACACTGTTTACTGGCACATCCCCTCCGAGGCAAAGAGCCCCATCTCCAGCACCTGCGTCTGCTGGGGCTGCCTGCCCTGCCCCTTACCTCCATGTTTCCAAGCGATAGGCTTGAGCAGGGAGAGTTCCCACTTATCGGCTGTGGGCTAGCCACCTGTCCTAAAGAAGTGATTCAACCGAGCCAACTACAGGATTTCAGTGACGGGAACTACAGAACAATTTGACAAACTGTGGTTCACACGGAGAAAAGCTCTGCAGGCGCATCTGGACGAACTAATCATGGAGTGTGAACACAGGGGGCAGGGGTGGGGAGCACGTGTCTGGACCTTCAGGAACCCAGATGCCAATGGCCCAAAGTACGCCGGGAAGGCCGGCCTGCGTCCGCCTGGCACTGCTGGGGGCCATGGCGGGGCCTCCCCTCACCCGTGTCGGCTGGCGGGGCCTGTGTGCTCTGCACCCCTGCTCGTCCTGAAGAGCTGACCCAGCAGGACAAGAGAACTGGTTTGGACATTTTTAGAAATGATTGGACTCAACAGAAAATGAGAAAACATTCCTTTGGTGTAAATGGCTTTAGTAACAAAGGAAACAGAAGACAAAGGAAAAAAGAGAAAGACAAAGAGGACCAAAGAAAAGAGAAACAACGACCACCGTGGAAAGTGAGGAGGCCTGTGACGCGGGCGCAGGCCTGTTCCCTACCACCCCGCGGCAGAGGACGGGGCATGGCCGAGCCCCCGGGGCAGCGGGCTTACCGATGGTGCAGGCCACGAAGTAGACCCTGGAGGACTGCACCTGGATGTCGAAGCGGTGGCAGTAGGCCACGAGCAGCCCTGTGGGAGAGAGGCCGCGGGCAGAGGCTGGGCCGCAGCCCCAGCCAGGCACCGGGGCTTCCCCCGGAGGGACCAGGCACCGTGCGTTCCTCCCGGCTCAGGAGGGAGCTGGCCCGGCGCCACCCTCAACTCCTGGCAGGTAACCAGACCTTCGGCGAGCGCAAACCCCAGCTCAGAGGCCGCCTGGTGTGGGGAGGGGCCCGGAGGGGGACCCTGGGGGCAGTACGGCTGGGACAACGCCTCCGGGGGACCACCTCCCTGCCCCCCAGGCCCCACTGGCTCAGCTCTGCCTCTGCCCACCAGCCCCTGTGGCCTGACATCCCCAAGGGCACCCGGGCCGCCAAAGCCCGGCCCCAGTACCTGGGACCAGGATGTCCCCGAAGCCCAGGAGGGAGAAGGGCCGGTCACACAGGGCCAGCGGCGAGGCGTTGAGTCTGGGCACCTTCAGCACCATGGGGAGCTGGGGAGAGGGGGCAGCGTGTCCAGGACCCGCCAGCCCGCACTCACTCCGCTTGCTCAGCACCTCGGCTGCGGGCACCACATACCTTCTCGTGGGTGGCCGAGTCTGACGGCCCGGTTGCCACCTCCACCATGATGCTGT